AGAATTAGATCTCCATTTGCAGAATTAATGTTTCTCTTATAAACAAATATACTAATATAATTTGTGTGAATTAGGCATTGCTTAATTTTAAAAGTTCGACTTTTAAATAATCCACACAATTTTTGACCAGTAAAGTAAAGATATAAATATGATATATTATAGAAAATGCTTCTCTGATTAGAAAAAAAATAAAGGGAGTTGCAATATTACTTTGTGTTCATAATATCAACATTCTTAATTTAGATACTATAAATCTAGATATTTGTAACATAATTCAATTGTATTAGAATAATGTTTTTAATTATTTATATATTTATAAACTAAAGCAAGTCGTAACCAAGTATATCCGAGATTAGTACACAACCTTGCTTTACAACCGTGTAATAATAATTAATTAAAATGTACAACGAGATACTCATGACGTAAACGATGTACTTAAACGATACATTGGTCAAACAACACGCAAAGTTGAATCGTACGCGTCCTAACCGCAGTCACATGACGCATGCGCGTCGGTTGCATTCGCATTGGTAACGAGTGCATCGGCGAAGTGCGGCTAAAAGGGCGCATAATAATTTCATTGTCGGGCGCTCGAGTTTGCAACTTTTTCGAGTTAAATACCGAGAGAGGGCTTCATCCGCTCGATTTCACGTAGTGGCGACGCGTTTTACAACCCGCGAAACAATCCGCGTGCAGTAAGTTCGGTCGCGGTAGCGACCGCATGACGCATAACGCGTCAGCCGCAGCTGTGGCGGGTGCAGCGGTGGACAAACGTAGCGAAAAAGGCATTTCGACAACGATGTCGGCGGGGCCGTGCAATAATTCTCTCATTCAACAACGGGGAGAGCTCAAATGTGTTTGTTCTGGTCGGGCTCTAATTTTCATGACGAGCTCGACGTTGTGCGTTGGAACGAATTACGCCAAGTTGAATGTGGCTCGTCACATTTGCCTCGTTTGTCCGCATAGCTACAACTTTCATTCTAAGGTAGAAATCCTAGAGATGCGAGAAGAAAAGCTCCTAAAGATAGATGTAATCTTTCATTTGTGCAAAATATATATGTAGGAGGTAATCTTCCAATTTTAATATAATAACTAATATTTAATATTTCAACTGTAAATAGAGATAAAACAGTTGCTATGAAATCAGTATACATGTATATACACACATATATATATATATATATATACACACACACACAAATGGGAAATTTGTATTAAATGTAGCACATTTTACACTATTGAATTTATAATGTCAAATTACGTTCAATTAATGCGAATTATTTGTCATTTCTATAGATCGCCATTGTCTGTACTCAACATATCATTAATTGAAGATGATGAAGTTGTTCAAATTCTAAACAATCTAGATTTAGTAAATTAATTTAACTCAAGAAAATGTATTGAATTTAACTCAAGTTTATTATTTACTAAGTATTACGTTGATATGGACATGTTTGCGTTGAAATTATAAAAATAAATTACTTCACATTTTGACACATAAACGTGGAAGTTACAAACGTAGAAAATAACAAAATGTTATTTAACTCAAGAGATTTAACATATACTAGTTATTTATCTTAGAATTTATATTTAAAAAAACATTATTTTTATTATTTGTTTATTTACTCATAAATATTTTAACATTAAGAAATGTTGAATATCAATTTAACACGAAATAGTCAAATAACACAATTACATTATATTAAATTAAGTTGGATATGTTAAATATTTAACATAGAAATTGTAACAAAGACAATTTTTAGCACAAAAACTGTTTTTCATTGTGTATGTATGTATATATATATATAAAAATATTGCAAAAAGAAAAAGAAGACTTGAAATAATACCAATTAATACGCCACTATACTTCGAGGAAAATTGCAAACTCCTCAATCACGCTCAAAGAACTTCGATGACCAACTCGAAAGCTGCGTACCCGGCACAGGCGGCGGCGATCGAGAGCTCCAGAGGGCGAGGCGATAAAGCCTGAAAGGACTCTCGAGAGAGTTCCAGCGCAGCCGCGAGTCCGAAGATTTACACGAACGCAACGAGCAAAGAAAGAGACAGAGAGAATCCTCTCGCTTTCCGGTGCTTCGAACTTGACGAAGCGCATCCGCCGTGGGTGAGTCACAGTGAAACACAGTCGAAACATCTACGTATATATGTACAACGCGATTCTCGAAACTCACCGCTCCCGAGAGAGGCGACGTCTTCCTAGCGTTCGAGCGGTGACCGCATATATTGGGATCCAGGGCGCATTTAAAGGGACCGAAGGCGAACTCTCCAACGAATCTCTCTCCCGCGAAGAGATCTCACCTCTGTCTTGGGATGTCTCTAAGTTGCCCAACTTTGAACAGCTTCGCTGCTACGAATATATCTCTCGAAGCGTAAATTAAAAGCTATATAAAATAAAATTTTATTACGTAAAACTTAAACTCCGAGGTAATTTGATATGCAAACGCACGACCTTGTGAATTATTTTACAAACGATACAAGAGCATGTAACAGACGAGCTTCATTGGGAAGAGGCGACTCGCTTAGACGAATCGATGGCAGTAGCGTTTTGATCGAAACACACGTCGCGCCCGGTACTCGCTTCTATCTCATACCTGGTTAATCGAGCATGTCGATGACGCCGTATATCGATTACCTGCCGTTTACGGTGTTATCGAAACGCGCTTAATTAACGGAGAACAAACTGCAGCGAGAATAACGGCGCGAGTCGAGCGTTAATCGCGATGTGAAGAGCAAAAACAGGCAGCTGAGAAATTGCCTTCGTGTTATAAATCTTTTTCTTGCCTCCTCTTTCTCAGCCCTCTGCCATTTTTATCAAGAATACGCTGGCACAACGATATTTTATCCTACTTTTGAGAAGCTTTCTGTCTCCACATCCGGACAGAAAAAAAAAAAGTTTAAATCCAGCACGTAATATATGTGTTCACGTAGTTAACTTATATGTATACACATATTGCAGATGTAAGATTACATTCATTTTCATTTTTATCTCCAATAATTTCCCGAACATTTCCATTAAATATCAATGTACCTTTCTTCATTCGGATAATTCAAGATAGGATACAAATTTGATCATGAACAGCTGATGAAAATAATACTTGGGACTTTGACATAGTTTTTGAACTAATTGTAAATGACACCGAAAGGAATGGAATTGGAGCTCTTGTTGCTCCTCTTCCCTGGACCGAATTCGCAGGATTAACGGAAATTTAGAGGGCGACCTTGCTCGACGATGCGAAACGGACCTATAACCACCGCAGAACATGGCGCCGCACCGTTCGAAGTCGGTATCGGCCAACGTAGCGAGCGAATGGGACGTTAAATCGAGGCACTCCTCTTGTGTGCCCTCCGTAATCCCGCCGCATCCTTGACCTCCGCCGCCATCGTTTCCACGCACGCAGTAATTTACCGCGAAACACGCGCGTCGTTACTCAGCCGTCGCTTTGTTCTCGGATTTTCTGCAAGTAGACGTCTATCCGAGATGATTTTTTTTTTTTATTCGAGGATCTTTTACGTAATGATCGGTAATGACGGCTGGACATATGCCGACTAATGACTTCAATAAAAGAATACTTATATACCTATGTCTGTACTATCATTAAAAAATTTGTCCACGTATCATTGAATCTTTTATATCGTCAAATAGAAAACTTTGGACTCAATCCTTATAATCAATCCTTCATATTATTTCAAATATTAAACAATAATCTAAGCTTATACATTCACATGTCGAATGTATATCAATATAAAAAAAAATATCTAAATTAGTGTGTCTCATGGACGCGTAACGATGTTGAAAGAAAGATAGGTGTATATGAAACTAGGTATAGGCTTATTTAGATGGAGGTATAATGATTGCCATAACATAATGTTCAGGGAACGAAGAATGAAGGGAACGAAGGAAGAAGACAGCGAAAGAGGGCAGCAACAGCTTGTGCGAGCAGGAGACAAGAGGGGAGTGGTGTAATAACTCTGTCCGTGAAAGCCTCGTCGTGAGTTCATTAGTTCCGTACCGACGCGCCACAATGCTGGTTTAGTCCGCGGTTAGGACTTTCCTCGGAAATGCTGCGGCGCCAGCAAATTCAGCGAATTTACCCGCTGAATTCCGTGTCGAAGCGTTTACATCACGCTGGAATATTATGCATTATATTATATACCTTACCTCTTCCGTCGAATGTGTTGATAAACTGAATTTACATTAGCCAGTTTTAAAAGAAAGGAATAGATTTTTTTATCCACGAGTCGAACACTATACTGTCATGATACTTGGAATTAATCCTCATAGTATTACGAAAAATTTCTAAAATTTTAGTTTGGATTTTTAAATCTCATAAAGGATAAACTTATAAAAATGAATATGTACTTTAAAAAATGCATCGAATGTTTTTTAAGAGAGAAAAAGGCATAATATTTTTTCTGTTGAATGATACGAAAATAAAATTAAAATTAAAATTAAGTTTTTCCGAAATTCATTAAAAATATAAAAAATTTCAAATGTTTGCGATTAAATATTTCCACATAGTATTTCAAACAGAAATTGAAGATATATAATTCATCACAAAGAAAAAGAGATGAAATATATTTTATGTTAAACTCTTTTCACATCAGGAAATAATCCGAATGCAAAATTTGTTGGAGATAGAAATCTCTGCACAAGCTAACCAACATATAAACCGCAAAAATGCAGCCATGCGAACAGATTAAATATCGCAACAACATAATCCCATCAGTAAACGCGCACTCCTATCCTCCAGGATTTTCGCACATACGGAAGTATTTTCCGGAAGCGGAAACCGATGTGGATGCTGCAACAGACGTCAGAGGCTGTGCGCGAATGATTCGACCGCGCGCGTATAATCGCTACATTCGATTCACCACGAGTTGCAGCTGTACATTGCGACAGCGTGCGTGCAGTTGCATGCAAATTACTGCGTCTCGTGTATAGCCGAAAGTGGCTAAAAAATGCATCGGGCTTTCTGTTGCAGAGAGGTACGACACCGCATACGCTTGCGAGGGCAAGACGCTGGAGATCGAATGCGGCGAGGGAAAACTGATCCACTTGATACGGGCGAACTATGGCAGGTTCTCCATCACGATATGCAACGAGCACGGGAACACCGAGTGGAGCGTCAACTGCATGTCGCCCAGATCGTTCCGCGTGCTGAACAACGAGTAAGTACTGCACGCGTCGTGCCTGTATATATATCTTTTTTTTTTTGTGATTGACTTTGATCTATTTGTCGTGAGCACCCACCCCTTTGATCTCTATTTTCCCGGGATATGCCGCGAGCAGAGCTGAATAGTTTCATAAATGATAAATGCGTACATATACAACTGAAAATGAAATTATTGAAAATGCTGGAAATTAAAAGATCTTGAATGAAAAAAACTAATAAACTATTCTCCTTCAATCGTCATATCAGTCTTCTCAACGGGAAATACCTTCTTTTTTTTGTTTGTATTTACGTATTTCAGTGCCTGAGCATATTCTTTGACGATCTGAAAAATTACGTTTAAAACGTAAAAGGAAAAATTATTTGTTCACAGTTGATGTAAAATCCATAATAAAGGAGTTATTGCAAGTAATTATTGGAATTTAATTAATTTTCTTACGGGCAAATACAATTCTCAACAAAGTGAATGTTCAATGAAGCGAAAAACAGAACTAATTTTTACATTCTTACAATCGCAGAGAGATAATTACCAGAAAAGATAATTATCACAATTCTTTTGCTGAAGCAACGAACTACATTAATTGATCTCAATTATTTGTTAATGAAGTATTAGATGCATATGGAACTATACGTTATGGAAAAGGAACATTTGAAAAAGAACTTGACAAGAAAGCACTTTCAGAATTCGCTAACTAAAAGAGTAATACTTAAAATATTTTTTTATCGAGCTTATTTTCACAATATATACAAGATCTTATTGTATATTGATCATTACGAACATATATATATTTTATAATGAAATAATGTTCAATTCTGCTCGCGTGGCGCCAATAGATCCCTTGTAAATATTCAAAAAATGAAGAACAATGCACAATACTCAATTAAAAGAGACGTCGAAATCGACACAACTGAATATTAGATCAGATTGTCATGTTATCTTACGATTCGTCGTTTCTCTAATCGCTGAAAGTGATCTTTCATGGAATTTTGATATTTTGTAGTGTGATTTGCATCAGTAATGAATTAAAGAATGCGATCAAATATATTCTATTCGTTAAAAATAAATTGAGTATATCTATTCGAGCTATAAAAACTAAGTAGTTAATCTTAAAATTAGTTAATATCGTTTATTAATATTCAGCCATCGATTGAGTTGTTCTTCGTTTTCGGTAAGTTATTCAAAGCGAGGGAATCTAATGAGCGCCATTTCTTCCCAGTCCTGTCTCACTTTAGCTTTTTCCTTTAAATCAACAAAATGGAGCATATATTAAAAGGGGGGAGTAAGGAAATAAAAAACCGAATGAGGGAAACGAAGTCGGATGCGAACCGCTTCACATGGTCGAGCGAACTGGCCAATTGCTGGACCATTGAAGAACGCGTCTCGCGATGGATCGATTAGGAAGAGTCGCAGTATCTATTAGCGATAGCTTCGCTATCACGGTCCTCGCGAGAATCCGTTTCGTGTCCCTCATTATCGTGATCGTAAAGAATATGTATATCCATCGATTCCGGAGGTCAGTCACTTAATTTTGATTTATTAAAAGAAAAAAATGTTGAAAGTGAAAATAAATTTATCAATATTGTAATTATAAAAAGTAAAAAGCGAAACAATTTCGGCGATCTCCATATGAATATCACGTTCTAAAAGGCGTAACTAAAAATGGTGGACGATGAAAGTTAGACGAAATTTGCCAGTATTGTTTGTATAATACACACGCTAAGATCAGGATATTTTTACTCATAATACATGTTTGCGTAGGGTAAGATGATATGAATAGATGGATCGCGAAAAACACACATGTCCATCTAGTTACGCCACTATTCACACACATTCTCGGATTTTTTTATTTTTCAATCTTTGATATGCAATAGATGGCGACTGTTTCACGGAATAGTTGATTAATTTGATTGTAAACGTTTATAAAAAGCAAGGTTTTCTTTATATGTCTTAATTCATGTATCTACTCTCTTGATAAGAAAATCTCTTATCTGACAGCGATATATCACACACAGATATATTATTAGATTTAATAGAAAATTCAATGTAATTACAATCTAATAGAACTAATCCTTCTAAGAAACAGTCATCTATCTAGAGAGTCTAAATGGATCTTATGCGTTAAAAATTTTTATTTTATATAATAATAATTACTTTCTTCAGACTCCTGCTTTTTTAAATTTATTTTTATTATGATAAGTCTGCATTCACAAAAACGTTTAATTAATAACGTTTATTTAATATTTATCTCATAATTACAGGGATTTTTTTTATATTTTTAGAAACGAGAATTTGGTTCAATTTGGCGTTACATAATGAAAAAAATGTGTGAATACAGATTATCATTTATTATTTAACAAAATGTGATGTTTAGGCGAAGCATTGATCGAAAACATTGATCGAAATTATGTATGTACATGAAATACGTGCACGATTCGTGAAATAGAAAGAATAAGAAATAGAATAATCAAAGATATTTTCAATAAATTTTATATTTAGCTTTTTTAATTCGGTTATTAATAATTGGGCAAACCAAATGTAATTATAAATTTTGATTAACATCGAAAGATCCAACTCAAAAATAGTTTTGATTAATTACACAAATTAATATTAACGCAATTAATTTGTGTACCTTTCATCGGGAAAACGACTATTCATGCATCCATTATAATATCACAGAGTAACAAATCTCAATGAATTATATTAGTTAATTAATACAATTATACTTTTAGTAGTTGTTGATTTGTATCCATATGAAGTAAGATTAACGGTATATTTATTTATTTCTCTTGCGATTACACACTCATAAAGTAAAATTATCTACATTTAAACATTTTAAAACTTTCACATATAATAAATATGTTTAAGAGACTGAGATTTTTTTCAATTAGATCGCAGCTTTCAAAAGAATCAAACAAGCATAATGTTTTGAAATTTGACATTTTATTTTAAATTAACATTTAATTCATTAATGTATTGAAATATAACATCGTTCAATTAATTTGTCATTCTATGATTGAAATTTCTATCAATGGAATTTTCATCTTTTTTGTCTTCCTCTTTTTCTCGTATCATCAAAGAAAAATAATTTTTTTCTGTATAGATAGAATACTGGGGAGAACAGGATTATACAATCCGACATATTTTTCTCATTAATGATGGAAGTATTAGGTGTTGGAATTAATTCGTAGCGTTTTTAATGAAAGAATGTTATTTATTTCACATGAGCATTAAAAAATACATTAATGAAAGTACTTCCCATCACTTGTAAAACGCTACGAATTAATTCCAACACCTAATAACAAAAACGGGAGTAACGAAAAATTCGGAACATCCATGTCCAATTTGCGAAGGCTATTGATATTTCGCGATGCTCATTTGCGTCGAAAAGAGATAACCCGGTTTCCAGTAAATTTTAATCTTCTCGCAGAATGATTCCACTCTTCCATATATGCATTGATACTGAGATAAATTATTATTATCGCTGCGTACGCCTTTGATGCACGTTCCACTCTTCGTTAAAACAAACGTTGTATGATCGATCAATACTTGCGCCCATGCATCACATCTCTCGTGGAATCATTTGAGAATCAGCGTTTATCATCGATGAATCCTCGAAATCAATGACATCGGTTTCACGTGGTATCTCTCTTCCTTTCATAATGTATAATACAGATAATTGCAGAATTATGTATTCTGTCAAGTTGAAAAAATTATTCATACACGGAGAGAATTTTTTCTTAGAGTTTATCCTGAAAATATATATAGAGGACAACATTGTATTTCGAAGAATTTTAATGTAAATCTCTCTCATTTATTAATAAAACTACAATAAAGTATCAAATAAGTTTGATCAATTTTACTGAAGTGCATAACGATACAAATCTTTAAAATATTGTATTGTACCACAATTACCATATTTTTAGGGTAAATTTTAAAAGAAAATTCTCTCCATAGTAATATCTATAGTTATAATTTATGAAAATAATCGGTAATAATTCTATGGATTATTGATTAATTCTCTGATTTTTTAATCAAATATAAAAACTTGACATAATGAGATCCGAAATAATTATTCAGTTATATGCCATATAATGTTATTTGATAAATACAAAATAGAAAAAAATCTCTGTAAATCAATATTTCTGAAGTGACGTATAACAAGAGAATTATATAATATATTATATATAATTCTCATATATGTATATACACACTCCGTAGGATATCAAATTCTATTATTAATTTACTCTTGATTGCAATATCGTATTCTGCAATTGTCCATACAAAACTTTGTCACTGTAATAATAATCAGAATTAAATTATTACGGGAGAAAAAGCTGATTCAACAATCCAATTGAGCGTATTAAATCGAACTTATGACCAAATAACTTTTATTTACGTTGCTTCGTTCGTTTCATGTTGTTTTTAGTTTATTAACAATTTTTGCGGCGCTTTTTCAATACAGGGTGTCTGAAATAGGTTTCTCCGAGTTTTAAGCATGTTCACTTGCATGTACATTTGGGACAAGACGCTTGGGTTACCTGGTATCCCTTAAAATCCTTTTAACACAGTAAGCGACCTTACGGTCGATAATCGTATTAACACATTGTAAGCCGTTTCTAGTAATTATCGGAGTTAGCAATTGTATAAAAATAGTAGTGTTTATGAATAATAAATTTTCATGTATCCCATATTTGGAACATTGAATAAACCGGTTTACATTGTGTTTATCGTAATATCTAATATGTGTGATATATATTTGTATTTATTAGTTATTTAATTAGAAAAAAAATTGCTGGTTCTGGTCAAGGTTTAAACAAAATGGAGTAAGCATATTTATTAAACGCAAATAGTTAGCATAACATTAATATTATAACAAATAATTATAACAAATAGTTTATATATAATTATTATTGTATTAATTATTTTATAATCGATAATATTTCTTCCCTCCCCAATTCATGATTTCTTTTTCTCACTGGAGCAGACGTTTAATTAAC